AGGATATAATATAGAGGAATCTTTTACAAATAAACTAGACATCCTGTAGTACCGGCGACTTATAAATTGCCTATATAGGTAGTCTCTTTAAATGTAAAAGTTTCTGTTATTTTAATTTATTGATTCAACGTGTTTCCGAACAGTCCGTCAATGCTAAATATTCTATTACCATACGCTTACTATTTTTTAATGTCTTTTTCTCGGCCATATAAAGTCGTCCATATAAGGCGTCGGTCGTTTCAAGAATTCTTCGGTAGCTCTGTCGGTAACAATCAACAACCGTCCTGAAACACCCACCAAACAAGTACATTCCCAGTCGATAATGATATGTTTTCTATACAGCCCGGTCGATGCCTACCGTAGCGACGGCGGCGGGTAAATCTTTTATATCTCCTCGGTGATATCGATAAAAATCTGGTTTAAAAATAAACCCGTAAATTTCTAGGCGAGCGGGGCTAATACGGGGCATATTTTACAAGCCGAAAGAGGTGCCATAAAAATTTAAGACGTTTCAATTCTTTGGATTCACCTTATCTTCGCATCAATTCAATAAAAATCGGTCGAAAAAAAGGGGTTCGTCTTGTACGTCTTCCCACAGCCGTCGTTAAATCTAGTTATAAAACTTATCTAAAACAAATGTCGACCTTTTTAAGCAATTATTTATCGACCACATTAAAGTCCGAGTCATTCGAAATTAAATAAACCGCAACCGAAATTAACGAAACAGGCTATGTTGCATTTAGTTATTTTTCTTACATTATAGGTATCTGTAGTAAAGTTCGCTTTAGTCGGTAGAGCCATTTTGATAACATTTGAACACCTTTACGACTAACCCAAGTAGCACTTTATGTTACAATTACGTAATTTCTACTTGTATTTGGTCTCCATAACTCCATAACATATTTTCCTCAAAAGAGAATTTAAACGTAAGTAGATATGTGTACGTTTAATTTTGGTAACGTAATATGGACCAAATCATTCATGTCACACATGTTGTAGGTTACGTTTCTAGAATCGCATAACCAATAAGTTGTAAAAATGTTCTCCTTTACAACAGTGATTAACCTAGAAGTCCAAAACCCAAAGCTACCTAGTATAAAATGAAGATGGGGTAGAACACTACAGTGTGAAATATATGCACTTGAAAATTTTAAAGCTCCCTTAGCTCCCTAAATATCTCCATACAAATATTTTCCAAAAATCAAAGATATAAAATGCCTTCTCAGACTTAGTATCACGCGACTTCATAGCATTCCCTCCCAATATTTTAGCCTTCGCTGACATTTCTCTTTTAGTTAAAGTCTATTTGGCTTAAGTGTTTTTCTAGTTTCAATACTCAAATTTTTTATATTTTCCTATTATAATTAGAAATTTAATAGTGACTAAAATGCGTTAACTGTAAGAATATTCAGAAAACTGAAAGAATTTGGGAAGAAAAGATGTCAGGACATTGAAATAAAGTGTTAATTGTATCATTATATAACAAATGAAGATTGTAAAAATTATTGAGGAATAGCACTATCCGATGTTACTTAAAGGGTATTAATAACACTTCATAGAACGGTTATGATGAGTAAGGAGGATTTAAAGCAAAGAGTTCTACTAGTAACCAAATTATTGATATGAAACACCTTCTATAGGACACATATTAACAAAATCTAAGTCCACATCTGTTGTTTATAGTTACGGATACCAAACAATCTGAAGAGATTGGTGGAAATGGCGGTTAGAGAAACAAAGAATAAACATTGCGAGGAAGGTTTTCGGAACAGTTCAATTTAAAGAAAGGGTTGCAATGGGGGTCTTAAGAAAAAGTGGTGTAATAACAGAGAGNACTACAGTGTGAAATATATGCACTTGAAAATTTTAAAGCTCCCTTAGCTCCCTAAATATCTCCATACAAATATTTTCCAAAAATCAAAGATATAAAATGCCTTCTCAGACTTAGTATCACGCGACTTCATAGCATTCCCTCCCAATATTTTAGCCTTCGCTGACATTTCTCTTTTAGTTAAAGTCTATTTGGCTTAAGTGTTTTTCTAGTTTCAATACTCAAATTGTTTATATTTCCCTATTATAATTAGAAATTTAATAGTGACTAAAATGCGTTAACTGTAAGAATATTCAGAAAACTGAAAGAATTTGGGAAGAAAAGATGTCAGGACATTGAAATAAAGTGTTAATTGTATCATTATATAACAAATGAAGATTGTAAAAATTATTGAGGAATAGCACTATCCGATGTTACTTAAAGGGTATTAATAACACTTCATAGAACGGTTATGATGAGTAAGGAGGATTTAAAGCAAAGAGTTCTACTAGTAACCAAATTATTGATATGAAACACCTTCTATAGGACACATATTAACAAAATCTAAGTCCACATCTGTTGTTTATAGTTTATACATTACGGATACCCAACAATCTGAAGAGATTGGTGGAAATAGCGGTTAGAGAAACAAGGAATAAACATTGGGAAGAAGGTTTTAGGAAAAGTTCAATTTAAAAAAAGGGTTGCAATGGGGGTCTTAAGAAAAAGTGGTATAATAACTGAGAGTTTAAAATATACGAGCACATACCAGTGTGTAGTGAATGCTGCGGATGTGGAACCAGATACAAGAAATAAACAACTACATTTAAGTTATTTCAGAAGAAAAGAAGAGGATATTGCAATAAATTATTGATGAAGAAAACAACAAATGAAAGATAATGGTAAAGGTGAGTCAGCTAATTTAACCACCAGTTGTGCAGAAATAGAATATACATAATAGAAAAGGAACAACAAATTGCAAATTTAAGAGTGACGTTTTCATGCAAAGAATGCATCTAGAGCGACAAAAATAAGATTGCACTAAACACTGTTGATACAGTGTCGCCTATGTTTACAATTTTCGATAATGAAAGAAAGAGGAAAATAAAGGAGCATTCTAATAGAATATATGAAATGATTATGGTAAAGGCAGTATTCAGAAGATGGACAAATAAAGAATGAAATATTGTGGAAGTAATAAAGCTGAAGTCAAGTGGTTGGAACATACAAGCATAATGAGGACACAAATGTTAAAGAAACATTGTCAGGAGGAGGAAAAGAAAAGGGAAGAAGAGAACGACTCCAGAAAAGGTAGCTGGAAGAAATTAAGAAGGATTTGAGGAAGGCAGGAGCCACGGATTGAAAAGAAGAGGCAAATGAAGAAAATTGTAAAGAAAATTAGGAAAACTTTAAGCGATAAGCCTCGACTTGCAGCTATAGATATGATAAAAGTAGAATAAATTAATAGTAAGCATTTTTAATAATCGTAACCGCTAAAACTGTTTCAGAACCTCTGATATTGTCCCAAGTGAACAGCTGTAGCCATATATAGCACGATGTCTGCTTCTTGTCCCATTTTGCGTAGTAAACGGAAATATTACTAGTTCAATTTTACTTATTTTATTTTACTTTATTTATTATTAATTTTACTAGAGTTTTCATTACGGAAACCTGTTTTATTTTTTTATTGTCCTAGTTTCAGGTAAAATTACGCAGCACCACAAAAAAAGTGGTTAGGGCCGTTGGTCCAGAGCAGTGAATCCTATAGATTTTTGATCCGCTAATTACGAATCTAAAGTCAGAATTTCCGGATCAGATTGTATTTTGACCATAACATCAAGAAACTGCTCTAGAAAACGGGTTTCAATATTTCAAACTGATCGATGTAGTCAGAGGTTGGAAAAACATTGAAAATCATGATGTGACTGCATTATATATTTATTTTTCATCATTTGATAAACAATTATAACAAACGAATTGTTCAAAATATCCACAATCTGCTGCTAAGCATGCTTCAGCACGTTGTGCTACTGCTCGAACGGAGTTGCGTACTATCTCTGGCGTTATTTGTTGTATTGTTTGAAATAGATGACTCTGTAGTGTGCGTCTATAATATGCGTCAAAATATGATTTTTATGCACGATGGTGCAGGTGCTCATTTCGCATTAATTGTACGCGATTACCTAAATAATACTTTCCCTGAACATTGGCTTGACAGAGGCGGTCCATTTGCTTGGCCACCTCGTTCTCCAAACTTAACGCCATGTGATTTTTTTCTTTTGGGGCTTCCTAAAAACGTTGGTGTATAGGACACCAGTGGCAAAGAATGAATTGCAGAACCGCCTATTTCAATACAGCAAATAAAACCAGAGATTATACGCAACTCCATTCGAGCAGTAGCACAACGTACTGAAGCATGTTTAACAGCAGACGATGGAAATTTTGAACAATTGTAACTCATTTGTTGTAATTGTTTATTGAATGATTGAAAATTGAAATTTATAGATAATGTATATATTTTTATTATTTTTATATATTTGATACTGCTATATCTCAATAAATATGGTCTGATTGAAAAATCATAAATACATTTCTTTATTATCTTATCTAGCTTAATATGATCTCACAGTCCGTGTCCACGAATTTCGTAACATCCTGTATAACATTTTACCCCCCTTAACTTTTCTATTTTCTGAGTTAGACAAAAATAGTTAAAATGTTAGTTGTAGGGAATCTTTCTATGAGTTTAATGAGTTTATGAAAATAGAAATTATACAGGGCGTTCCAAAGATACGAACCAAACTTATGTTTTTTTTTAATGGAACACCTTATATATTATTCGATTTTTGGAATCTCCGCTTCTTCCTGATTCCGAAAATATAAATATGTTGTGGATTTATTTAACAATTTGTTCAATATTCTGTTGAAAGACTGAATCACGCAATGGGCAATATAAAAATTGCTATGGACAAAAATATTACTTCGTATTATTGTGGTCAGTAAGTACTGAATTACTTATTTACTGCCAATCAGGTACTCTCAGTGCTCATTCTGTAATTTTACCTCCGCATTTACGACCGCGATGCCTTGACAAATAATGTAATTTAATAAACAACACCCAATGCGACCACAAAACCACTCCCAAAGATTTACCAAGACCATCCGTCTAATAACTAATAATTTGTCTTACCTAGATTTGCGGTCATGCCTTCGAGGTCCTTGGGTTTCCGTTTCCGAGGTCGGCCTTTCTGCCGCGGCGTCGTCGGCGCCCCGTTAAAGAAGGGAGGAACTTTACCGACAGGATCCACCGGCGTTTGGGGCGGCAGGGAGGGGTGGTGATGGAACTCGGGACTAGGGAATGGGGGCGGGTAGGGGTGCATTCCCGGGGGGAACATCCCCGGGGGCATGGATTCGGGTATCGGCATTTCGAAGTGGAGTCTGCAGAGCACGGAGCCGTTTCTCATGCCGAATTGGTCGCCCTTCGTGAGGATGGCGCTGCACACCTCGCAGGAGAAACAGTGAACGTGGAAGACCAGCTCCTTCGCTCGCATCACCAGCTCCGAGGAGAGGATGGTGGCCTGACATCGAGCGCACCTCTTCATTCCGAATAAACTGAAAAAAAAGATGAATGTATGTAGTATGTCCATGGTTAGAGTGAATAAAAGGAAGCATTTTATTTTATATTTTATGGAAGTAAACAATGATTGTATTTAAAATAAGGTTGCCATGGAGAAAGTTAGCATTATTTCATCAGCGGGCTCTCCAGAAAATTAAAAAATATGAAAACTACTTTTATTTTTACTCTTTCCAAAGAGTGTCACTGGACATATTGTTCGGAATTAAAAGTTACGAAGAAATTCTTATTTGTGGCAAAGACAAGGTGTGAAAATGTGGAATTCTTATATAATTCTTTGACAGGAAACATGGTATAATTCCAAATTATGGCAAAATTGGTACACGTTGTTTACTAAAATATATGTCGACGATATACTAATATGAGGGAAAACCCTTTGTCTCCGTTGCAGGAAAAACATCTTTTATAGAAAATTTGACTTGTGATATAAAATAATAACTATTATAACTATTATATTACTTAATATATTTTAATAAAACTATGTTTACTTCTTTATCCAACACCTGTGTATGTATAATGGTACTATAATTTCTTTGGTTTTAAAGGAATAATGTGGCCTATAAGTCACTAGTGAGTTATAAGTCATAAGTCACTAGTAAGTTATGACTTATAACCCACTAGTGACTTATAGAAATCATAAAAAGACAAATGTTTGGTTTATTTTTCTAGTTTTTATTAGAAAACCAATTTTACATAGTACAGTAATAAGTCAACAAATAACTTAAAATGCTACAAACTTACAATCTATCTACTTATAATAATAGTAACATTAACATTTATGGAAAGCCGTAATTTGATGCCAAAGGATTATTGGAATCATTTTGTGATTGTGGTAAATTTATAAAACAGGTGCCCCTTTGCTTATGCTTGCTTCAGGAGTCCCCTTGTATCTATTTAGCAATACCAATTTTGCTGGAAATTGACTTTTCTTCTGCCACGGTAGTTGCCCTGTATATAAATTAGAATCTGTCAAGTCCAAAAATCGCGCAACAACATTAGGGATTTTTGATAGCTTATTAATACCAACACATTGACGTGTGCATTTTCCCTTTTGAAAATTGCAAATGAACCTTTTATGCTGCACATTTTGAGGCCTTAGCTTAGAATATTTTCTAATCAATTCAATTGGATTAACACAAAATCCTTCATTTAACACAACGAAGCTTCTTGGTTTGTTCGTTTTAGCATTTTAAAGATGTGGATATACTGCTCTTTGTCCTCTATATTGTCTATGCTTAGATGGGTCAATTCCTCGTAACTGCAAGCGCCAGAAACTCCTAATATCAACGCCACCTAAAAACAACATTTAATAAATATAACCCAGTTAAACTATTCAATAGAACCTACCTTGTTCATAAGATGATCTTGGTCTAGGGCTTCACGCAAAAATTGTTCGATTTGTTCTCTCTCCAAGACCTTGGATTTTTTTGGTTGAAAATATTTGTGCTTAGAAATGCCATTAGTCTTCCGAATTTAGAAATTTCAGTGTCCTTGTAAACTCTCAAATTGGACTTCAACATGGGATATTTAGTCCACAATGTGGATGGAGCTAATTTCTCACTTAAATTGAAAAAATAAGCCAGCAAGACATTTTCATTCACACCTTTCATAAGTTCTTTGATTTTCTAATATTGAAATTCCTTCAGTTCTTTGTTGTATATAGATTTTGATTTCTCCGGAATGATGCCTGCAGTAGCCGCACTAGCTTTTTCTTCAATGTGATTTCAACTCAAAAAATATTGTTTGTTTACTGACAATCCTTGGTTACAGACACAATTTAGGTTGACACTCGCATCCTTTCTAATATTTAAAAATACATTTCCCAGCATGACTTATATATACCGTAACACATTAGTACCATAAATAACTATTATTAAAATCGAGATATATCAATTAAATAAGACAGACAAGTCACTCTGTAAGTCGCACTTTTAAAATAATAGTGAAATGAAGCTCAGCATACCCGTATTGTGTTGCTATTACCAGTTCTTCCATATTCTTAACAATAATCATCGGTACGTTGCCGTCGCATTGTTAAATCGCTTCACTTTCTAATTTGTGGGAAGATGAGCTTGAGATTACGGTTTCTCGGACTATTATCGGCATCTTTTCGAGGTGTGAACTTGAACCTTTATATCCGCTAACTTTGTATCACGTTTCAGGATACAAAAGGACAACAATTAGATCGCGATCATATCTTTTAAATTTATTTAAACAAAACTCTAAACAATTGCGGACAACTAGAACTTTTCCATATGTTTATTTATCTCAGGTTTTCTTAAAAAGGACATTACTGGATCACGGNTTTATTAAAATATACAGGGTGGTTTCAAAGTTATAACCCTAAACGTTAATTTCTAGGTACCCCTTTGACCCCCCATAACTCCGTTAGGAGGCACATTAGGAAAAAAAATTATAGGAAGGACTAGTTTTATTTTGACCTCCCCTATACACTCCCGAGAGATTAGGAGGTACTTACCGGACACCCTGTATATTGCTTAATATATTTTAATAAAACTGTTTTTTTCCTTATCCAACATTTGTATATATTATGTATAATGATACTATAAGTCACTAGTGAGTTATAAGACATAAGTCACTAGTAAGTTATGACTTATAACCCACTAGTGACTTATAGAAATCATAAAAAGACAAATGTTTGTTTTATTTTTCTAGTTTTTATTAGAAAACCAATTTGAAACAGTAATAAGTCAACAAATAACCTAAAATGATACAAGCTTACAATCTACCTACTTATTAATATTAACATTAACATTTATAATAAAGCCGTAATTTGATGCCAACGGATTAGAATCATTTTGTGATTGTGTTAAATTTATAGAACAGGGTGCCCCTTTGCTTGTGCTTGCTTCAGGAGTCTGCACTCCTTGTATCTTTTTAGCAATATCAATTTTGCTGGAAATTGACTCGTCTATATAATCTTCTGCCACGGTAAGTGACTTCTATCCACCGTGGCGTTTGAGTGTTGTAATATCCCCTCCAGCACTGTCCAAGAGAGTTGCAGATGCGCGACGCAAGTCATGCCCTCTGTCAAGCCCAAAAATCGCGCAACAATATTACAGATTTTTGATAGCTTATTAATGCCAAAACATTGACGTGTGCATTTTTCCTTTTGAGGCCTTAGCTTAGAATATTTTCTAAATAATTCAATTGGATTAACATAAAATCTTCTTGGTTGGTTTGTTCGTTTTAGTAATAAAATCGTGATGTGAATATACTGCCCTTTGACCGCTATATTGTCTATGGTAAAATGGGCCAATTCCTCGCAACGGCAAGCCCAAAAACTCCTAATATCAACGCCACCTAAAACCAATAAATTTAATAAATATAACTCAATTAAACTATTCAGTAGAACTTATCTTATTCATAAGATGATCTTCGTCTAGGGCTTCACGCAAAAATTTTTCGATTTGTTCTCTTTCTAAGACCTTGGATTTTTTTGGTTGAAAATATTTGTCCTTAGACTTTAGAAATGCCACTAATCTTCCGAATTTAGAAATTTCAATGTTTTGTAAACTCTCAAAGTTGACTTCAACATGGAATATTTAGTCCACAACGTAGATGGAGCTAATTTCTCACTTAAATTGAAAAAATAAGCCAGCAAGACATCTTCATTTACGCCTTTCACCCCTTCTTTGATTTTCCAATCTTGAAATTCCTTCAGTTCTTTGTTGTATATAGATTTTGATTTCTCGGGAATGATGCCTGCAGTAGCCACATTAGCTTTTCTGAAATTTCAGATGAAATTTCCACATTTTCCATTTTTTTCAGTCTTGGTTTTAGGATTTCAACGTGATTTCAACTAAAAAAATATTGTTTGTTTACTGACAACCTCTGGTTACAGACCCAATTTAGGTTTTTATAATATTTAAAAATACATTCATTTCGTTAAATTACTTTTTCTGACATTGACAACTTGAAATTTTAAGCTACTTTTATTTATTATTATANTACTTCTTTATCCAACACCTGTGTATGTATAATGGTACTATAATTTCTTTGGTTTTAAAGGAATAATGTGGCCTATAAGTCACTAGTGAGTTATAAGTCATAAGTCACTAGTAAGTTATGACTTATAACCCACTAGTGACTTATAGAAATCATAAAAAGACAAATGTTTGGTTTATTTTTCTAGTTTTTATTAGAAAACAAATTTGACTTATTACTATAAGTCAACAAATAACCTAAAATGATACAAGCTTACAATGTACCTACTTATTTATACTAACACTAACATTTATGGTAAAGCCGTAATTTGATGCCAACGGATTATTGGAATCATTTTGTGATTGTGTTAAATTTATAGAACAGGGTGCCCCTTTGCTTGTGTTTGCTTCAGGAGTCTGCACCCCTTGTATCTTTCTAGCAATACCAATTTTGCTGGAAATTTACTCTTCTATATAATCTTCTGCCATGGTAGATGACTTCTATCCATCGTGGCGTTTGACTGTTGTAATATCCCCTCCAGCACTGGCCAAGAGAATTGCAGATGCGCGACGCAAGTCATGCCCTGTATATAAATTAAAATAACTCCTATATCAACGCCACCTAAAAACAACAAATTTAATAAATATAACTCAGTTAAACTATTCAGTAGAACTTACCTTATTCATAAGATGATCTTCGTCTAGGGCTTCACGCAAAAATTGTTCGATTTGTTCTCTTTCTAAGACCTTGGATTTTTTTTGGTTGAAAATATTTGTCCTTAGACTTTAGAAATGCCACTAATCTTCCGAATTTAGAAATTTCAATGATTTTTAAACTCTCAAAGTTGACTTCAACATGGAATATTTAGTCCACAATGTAGATGGAGCTAATTTCTCACTTAAAATGAAAAAATATGCCAGCAAGACATCTTCATTTACCCCTTTCACCCCTTCTTTGATTTTCCAATCTTGAAATTCCTTCAGTTCTTTGTTGTATATAGATTTTGATTTCTCGGGAATGATGCCTGCAGTA